CTCCCATAACGTAGTGGGGTCCTAATCATAATTACATGTGTTTTTACACTTATCGCGTCGCTCTCGTCATTAGGCATGAAAAGAGCGAAGTGTAGGAATCGTCCCACTCCTCGTACCACGCACCCACACAGAACGTTGGGCGCGGTTAAGGCGGTGGGAGGAGCATTGACTCGTCACGATCGCATAGCGTGCTTATCACGCCCCGGGAGTTAGACATCTTCCGTGCTTGCGGAAAAACTACCTTGTCGAAGGAAGGTGTTTGCTTCTCCTGTAATCGCGGGACGTGCCTTTAGGAATGTAGCATACGTTACTTCTGCAGTGGGTTTCCTAATAGTTTTGTGATCATCATGTTGACTGTTTTTCATTTCTGTCATTGTGTATTTTCTCACATATTTCCCCACAACCATTTTACCATTTCAAGGATGGAATTCGCGAAGCAGTTCATTCGGCTAGGGCTAGCTGAATCAAACGGTGTTCCAGTGTTTGTGATTGGTGTACTTGAAAATGCCGCTTCTTATCTTGTTGTAAGTGGACATTCCAGTATATTATGAAAGTTTTTTTTTCGTTTTCTCAAGATTTATTGTTCCAGGATGTCTTCCAATATCTGCACGAAAAACATCCCCATTTGCCGGTGAAGGTGAGTTCTTGCCTTTTGTTCCTTTCCTCCTTTCTTTGCGGAAGATCTCAAGCTTCTTCAGGTTGCTTGTCAGGGCTATTTCAGCTTGCTCACTGAGATTCTAAATTTTTTTATTACTACAGTTGGATTCCTAAACTAGTTCTGCTCTGTCGTGATTGTCAGACATTGTGACCTAGATATCATCCTCCTTCCTTTTTTTCTTTAGCGTTTGTTCCGCTCAGTGAAAGAATCTGCTTTTCTTATGTGATGACGCCATTTCTCCCGATTGATTGCCTGGTCGTAGTGAATGTCATCTAATTCCAACTCTGTGTGCAGCTTGTCGAGCCAGCGCTGAGTCGAACGTCCATTAAGCCCCGGCACCTCGAGCGGAAGGAAACTCTTACCAATGAGCCCGGCCTTTGCGTGAAGTACATTGCCTTTGGAGGGCTTGGCTGAAATCAGGGCTCGTGCTGTGACTGGAGGAAGTTTTTGTAAATGTGACTCTCCCTCCCCCCCCCCTTCCCCAATTCCCCCTTTGCTGGTGCGAAAATCCCCCTTCCCTATCCTGCCTACCTTTTTGCTAACTTTTCCTAATTTTTTACAAAATATCGAAAATAATTCAGTTTTTTTTTCAAATTTAGGGATGGAGGGGTAGAAGCGCCAAGAACGATTCCTAAATTGAGTTACCGAAAATAGTGTTGTGTAGTACTTTGGCTACACCGCCAACTAGAGGCGCACATAGCACATGCGAAATGAAAAACCGCGAAAAGTCAGCAATCGTAAAATTTTCTTATGGCCAAATACGACTCCTCTCAAAGTCACAAACAAATGCTTTCCCCGCGTACAACGAGGGGTTCCCTGCAGTGTGGACAGCGCGCGTGGGACAGGAAAGTTCAGCTATCAAAAAAATGTTCCCAAGCCAGTACATCCCCCTCCGCCCAGCGACCAGATACGACAGCGTACACCTGTGCCCTAGTTTTGATGGAACGCTAGTGAGCAGTAAGCCTAGTCCGGGAGTAGCGAAAGCTGGGAACTCCGTAAGCGAGGAATATTATGTGCGAACAGGTCTAGGCATGAGTCAGCCCCGCTCTTTCTGCAGCGGTCTAATCGCCAAAATCGATTTATATCTAATGCTCTCAGCGGATTGTAAATTCTGTGGATTCCCCAACTTGAGTGTGAATCGGGCCACTTTTAAAAGTGTTGGAGAATATTTCTAGAGTGTTACCTCCTCCCATGCGTCGAGTAGTAGGTCAGGACCTCCAATTGACTGTTAACGAAATAAAATTGTCCGCGCAGCCGAATAGGGATGCTAAGGGGATAAAAGGGCTCACGAAACAGACAGAATCAACAGAAACATTGTTGCCGAGCCAGTCAGGGTCTCTCCCGCTCCAGGAACCAATGAGGGCCACTCTGTAGGGGATCCCTGACATAAAGCGTGCCCTGGATATGAGCGCGATCTTATTACACAGAATTCTCTTGATGCGTATCCGTCACAAGGAAGTGGGTACCTCTATTGTCTTTTAGGAACTGTTCTCTAAAATCGCAAAAAGTGAATAGTGTCCGCGTGATCCCCAAGTAGTGTTGGTTACGTTGAGGACGTGTATGTTTTAAACTCTTGTGGTGCATAAACTATCGTTCTTACTTCGTTTACAGAACTTAAAATGTGGAACAGCTATTGTAGATTTGGTGGGAGAAGGCAGTGCCTACGAGCCCTTATTAGAATTGTTATTAATTAACAATTTTTAAGATTGGATCATTGACGAATAAACAACTTGTCGAAACCATGCCATTCAACTCTTACTACAAGCAAGTTATGGAAACGTGCCACCATGGGACGTTCCGGTATGTTTTCTTAGACCATGTCCCCACTACTAGTTGCAAAAAAGTCATGAGTTTTTTTTTCAGATGCGGTCCAATGCATTCTGTGTCGATGGTTGGCGCAAAGCAGGAGGAATGTGGAGACTACTTCGCTGAACTGCTTGCGGAATTGGAAAAATCTCCAGTAAGTTTCCTAGTTCCAAGTTGTTTTTTTTCATTTTCGTAATGAATAATTTCTGCCTTTCGTTTGCCACTTGTTTCCAGTTCTCTTTTTCATTTAATTCTGACGCGTATGGCTGTAACGAAGGTAGAAATACAAGTGGTTAAACTGTGAACTAATGGCTGTAAAGAGAGGCGCGAAGATTACCCGCAGTAGAACTCAGCATTTATGGCGTGGGCGGCTTGCACCCACTGGTGAACACCATCTCTGCTAGTTCCTAGCGCCCTTGCCATGTACTTTCGTGTGAAAAAAGTGGTGCACATTAGTCGGCTGCGGATCTGCGCACCTTATAAAAGGAAGAGGTTTTCGTGTAGGGGATTGCAAACTGTGCCTTTCTGGTGATCGATGTCATCTAGCTGTTCTTTGTTATCAACTTAAAACAGCAACTTCTTGCTTTAGATCCTACGGCCAATTATGCCATGGGGTGAATGGTCGGCATTGCATTTGGACACTGTCACCGAATGTGATGATGGCCCAATATTTTGGGTTCGTCCAGGTGAACAGGTTAGTGCTTACTGCTTCATTTGCAATGTCCATCTTTTTCAACATTCATCTTTCTCTCTTCTCATTCATCTTTCTCATTCTTATATCAATATTTTATTTTATGTTTTTATTAGTTTCTTTTTTCTTTGCTTATCTTTTCCTGTAATTTTTTTACACCTTTCTCATTTTCTCTGTTTTTGATATACTTCCCCTATGACTTTCTTCTGCCATATATAATATGAATTCTGCCCTATCAAGTAGGCTTCCAAGGAAGAGATTGCAAGTTCAGCGAAACAAGGCGCGTACAGTACCCCCTAGAAACCGCGCGGAATCAAAGGTCTCTGTGAATACGTTAAGGAGTTCCAGGATGAAGTCGGGAAGCGAGAGCGACACCTATTCCGCTTTCCACTCGGCACTTAGCATCACGTGCACTTTGGTGTACTGTACACCCTGTCTTTCTGAGCTTACACTAATTTTGTGCTCCAGAGCTTTGTCTTCATTTTGATGGCTCCATATTTCTAGCTAATACGCACGGATGACGTGAAAGACGAGCGTGAAAGCAAACGGAGGAAGACAGTGACGACAGGGCGTGGACATTCGCATGCAATCCGGTAATTTTTTTATGCTTTCATCAGAGCCGGCCTCTTTCAGAAAGCTTCTTTTCGAGCTTGTTTTTAGTTTCTTTCTACTATAGCAACGAAATCATAGTGGTGATAGCGATTCTATCTGGGTTTATGTCAGTTGTGGTTGACCTATAGGCTTTTTCAATTTAGTCACTACGAACGCCGGGATTGCTGTTTGAGGATCGTACGCCTTGTCATGCTGATCACGTTGGTGATGGCCTTGAACGGAAAACAACAGCTGCTGTAGGCATACTTCAGTCTATACGTTCTCCGAATGAAAAGTAAGAGTTATTTTGGTTTTATGTTATTCGCCCATGTTTTTTCTAGAGAGCTGTGATTACTTTCTATTTTTTTATGTTTTGTGAAAATTGATAAAGCTTATCCAATTGAGAACAGGTTCACGCAGTGTGCAGTGCATTATCTATTTTTAGGCCGTCTCGTCGAGCTGTGAAGGATGTCGTTTGCTTCCATGCCGCAGATTTCGAGCGTATTGTAGAAACGTTACAGCTCGATCTGTATGAACCTCCTATGTCTCAGGTATGTCCTTTGACATTTCCATGTCACTGTGATCCATTTTGAGGTTACTTTTGAGTGCATTTTTTCTTATCACCGGTGGTCGGCTCGTGGCAAGGGGAGTAGCGTTTTGCTTGTCAACGTGCCTGATCTTTTTGTCAAAGCCTGACTTACCTTTCGAGACGTTACAGGGTATGGTTGATTGCAAAAGGGAATTTCCCATTAAAGGCAGGTCCTCAAGTCCGGTGATCGAAATGCCCCATGTAGAACCGCATGAGGAACCGCGCGCCTACATGCATAAGAGGACTAGGCGTAATCGAAGGAGTTCCCACTTTGTTGATGCCGGATCTTACATTCATCACCTCACACTTGCCGGTCGAAAAGGAGAGGGTTAGTACCGCAACAAACGTACCATCTGAGGGCCTTCAGAACTGAAAGTTAGGCGTCGCAGTGGCCAGTAGGCAGGCCGGTGGCCTCGTCGCGAGCGGGTGGCGCCTTCTTGCATTTTTGATCAGCAAAGTGGTACACTAATATGCTTGCTTGCTACCATGTCCATAGGATGCGCTTGAACATCGAATGAACGCGGGGTGTATCTTCAAGCCACAATAAACCAGCTTAGAGGCCGCGTTTCCATTTGGCATTCGAACTATTCATCAGCGCGGGCGTCTGCGCTCCACTGCTAGTCGTTGGCCCGCTGCAACTGTCAGCATGAAACTTGTTACAATCATTGCTGCGGCCCAATGATTAGCGGTGGGTCAACCGCACGCACCCAATTGAATCACAATCAAAATCCATCTTTTGAAACAACACCAAATGTGGTCCAGCAATGAAAAGGAATGAATAAATGACGTAAACAGTGAAACTGGTACGCGTCACTTTACGAGAGATAAAGGATTTCCGAAGTAGTCCGGCACGTTGTCAGAATCAACAAAATTCTTCCCTCTCGTTTGATTCGAGCCTAATTTTGCCTAATTTTCTCCGTTTCAGTGCGTTCAGTGGGTTGAGGAAGCAAAGTTGAACCAACTACGGCGTGAAGGTGTTCGATATTCTAAATTCCAGGTACTCTCTAAATTTTTAGTTTCTTTTGATTGAAACGACCTTACGTCGAAATTGTGCGGTTACTTTTTTTGTTTTCGACTAGATTATGTTTCTTCTCGCTTTCCGTCGCTGTTTTGAGTCAATCATTCTGATTTTTTTTCCTTATAATTTTTATTCTTTGTGATTATACTGATTACCATTGGTCCACTTGTTGCGTTTATACTGTGTAACATCTTGCGGGGACCACTGGGAAGCTAACAATTATCATTTCATTTCATAGAATTTGAGTGGAAATTATCCTCAAGAATGCGGAATTTCGCCCAAAGTCTTGATCCTGTGCTGGACTTGAAAACACACCTCACACTTCCCGAGCAAGTGCGCTATCCATTACGCCACCAGGTCAAGTAGCTTAGCCTGGTGGCGAGACGGATAGCCGCGATCGTTCGTCCAGGGAGCGTGAGGAGCGGGTTCAAGTCCCATATGGGGTCAATACTATTGGCAATAATTCGGCATTATTGTGATAACTTTCAGAGCATCAGCTGGGCTGTTGTTGTGATAACAAGTCTGATGGGAAGCAGTTCGTGAAAAAAATATTCTAGTTTCAGCCCGTGTCACTTGTTTTTTGAAACATCATGGCGAAAAGGGTGTCAAGGGCGTTTTAGTGTGCCAATTTCCGAAACGACTGCAAAATATGAACGTGCACACCCCACGTGGATCGGACGATAAAAATATGAAGTGTCAGTGCGCCGAATGTTTGAGAGGGACTTTCGTTGGTCGTATTGATTCGTTGTTATCATTTACTCGTATTGATTCGTTGTTATCATTTACTGCCTTTTGATCCTTTCTGCAGTTTGAAGGGACATCCTGCGATCGAAAGTGGTGGGATGTGGGTGAGACACATTGTTCGTTGAGGAATTCCTGGCGAGAGGTCATATTTGGTCGGTGGAGAGAGGGGGGGCTTAGTTCTAGGATTTAAAAAGTCATTTTCGGTGGCAGACAGTTTCCTGTTCCATGCGCGCTATTTGTAGCATTGAAGGAATGGGATTGAAAGAGTAATTTTTACAAAAAAAATGATATGCCCCCTCCCCCTTGTCAGAATTTTCGTGGGGAAGGGCTCGCATTTCCTCGCCCTCCTCTTCACGCCGAATTTCTTTACAACTAATCTATTCGGTAGTTGAAATTAGTAGTTGTTTGATAGCAACCATCTCCGTCCTTCCCACCTGGCCAAATTTTGGAGAAAAACCTGCAGAAAAGTGGTTGGATAGCATAGCGAAAGGGGAGGGGATTGTATCCTGCAAAAGTTTTCACCAGCGGGAGGGAGTGCCCTGGTTACGAGGGCCCAAGCTGTAATCAAAGGGTGATGGGTATCTCATAGTGAAGAAAAGACAGAAACCGTCCGAAATGCCTAAACTACCACCCGCTTTCAATCCACGCTGATATGAGAACACAGCGGAGAAGGGAGGCGCTCTGGCGAGTTCTCAGTTCTTGCTGACAGTTCTTTTCCATTATCAACTCATTCTGACTGATCGAAGTTTAAAAAGCTAGTAGGGAAATAACCACGTCGTCACCGGCGTCGATGTAAATGAATGTTGGGCATAGGGGCGGGGTGTTGCTTTCGTCATGAACGTCATCAGCATTTTGCTCCTAGTGTCTGTATGGGTAGTTCAGCTAGACGATGGGTTCACGGAAGGCATAGTTCCAAGGAAGGAGTTGAAAAGACAATCATTCTTCAAATTCACATGCATTTTTTCAGCTTCATCACAACGACATCTATTTTCTCCCACGAAAGATCATCCATCAAGTTTCGTACCATATCAGCATGTGCATCGATTGCTTGGCACGTTCGCTTACAGCAGTATTATATGGATGAGGACACGAGTGCTGAGAAGGCTGAATAGAAAAGTATGGTTATTTGCAAAGCTACAGGCTTCTACCTCTTTTCTCATATATGGAGTAACTCATATTACTTGTCATAGCTGTGTTTTGGTGCATCCTGATCTGATTTAAGTAATTATTTCAAAGAGTTTTCTATCTTGAAAGTCATACTCGTACTGTACGTGGGTCATTTTTCGTTTTTCAACGATCTCTTACTCCCAGCTACTTTGCAGATGTTTTCAGAAATGATACCAGTGTTACCAAACAGATCGCGTTTATACTTAGCGAATCTAGCGATTTAATCGCGTGAGTCTGAGCGTCGGGCTTGTGCAGCTGAATGTGCTCTACCGCTAATCATTGGGCTGATGGAACCGAAATGAATCGCTCTGTGTGTGGGAATGATATACAATACTACGCTTATGGGGGAATTCCCGAGTATATGACAAGACAACCTCAATACGCCGCGCTAGGCGCGCGCGAGCAAAGCCGCCTACGCGAGAGGAGTGTTCTGGTTGGCCGTTTGAATCTTACCGTGCACGACGCGCCATACGCGACAATGCGGCAAAATTACGTTTGTCTTGTCCGTCTCCCAGGGTCCCATGGCCCTAAGCTCTACCATTTCTGAGTGTTTTTGTATTTCTGTCTTTGGCGTTTTCTTCTCTCCTACTTTTCTTCATCTAGTAGAATGGATCTTCTGGATCTCTATCAGTAATTACCGGACTCTTCGGTGTTCAGTTTATTCCCCGCTGTCCCCATCAAACCACCTGGGAAGAGCTGGGAATACCGCATGGGTATCGATTGTTTTCTGCGCAGTGCTATATTCGCTGAGAAGTTGCACAATCCGAACCACCGGAATAGAAGGGTTGAAGAAAGGGCCAAAAGCAAAGAGAGAAACATATCGTCAGAAACACTGGTAGAGAGCTCAGGGTCACTAGGGGCCGTAGGAGACGGACAATACAATCGCAGTTTTCCACGCTGTCGCGCGCGGCGCTTCGTGCGGCGGTGCGCGGCATGTTCTTGATGTTCATCAATTTTGTTGACTGGAGTAGCGAGGCTCATGTGGATCCAAGACGGAGCAAGATTCAGTGTCAAGTGAGATCGATTTTTCCCGTACCTTTAACGGTGAAATTCAAACGGCCGGCTTGAACAACTCGTCCCTCGCGTAAGCGGCGTCGCTCGCCAAGCCGAGCGCGTCATATTGTGGTTGTCTTGTCCTATATCTGGGAACCCCTACCCCTACAAGCGAAAGTACAGCATAGGACCCCTCGACAGCGCAATTCAGTTCGGTCACAAAGCCAACGATTACGGTAGAGCACCATCAGACGCACTAGCCCGACTCTCAAATCCACGCGACTGAATCGCTCGGGTTGCGAATGATGAATGCGGCCTCATCCAGTAGATTAGAGCAGCCGTGAATATCTGAACATTAATCTTGTTACTTTGTTGGGCATGTTTCTATTCTTTCAGATTTTTATGTTTAGCATTTATGATACGCTAGTTCTCAGAGCTATCCGCTGTTGGACAAGTTAAGTTATCAGTGATAATAATTAGTCTCGTGTTGGTATATAATTCTTGGAATTTCTAATATATTTGTAAGTTTTGCATCGATTCTGGTCGTTTCTATATAGTAGTGTGAAGCTCAGAGTGAGAGCTGTATACGATAATCTCTCATCTTATCAGGACAACCATTCGAGTTTCGAGCCGGTTATTTTGATGCCTATCTCGTGTTTCGTTCTCCGTTCTCCCCATTATCACATTTGAGAAAAAAAGCGTTTGGGCGCAGTTCGGCGACTGGGGAGGGGGGGGATGAGCATTTTGCACGCTCGCTGTTTGTTAGTTCCGATTAACAAGACTCACCGTGGTGAAATCTGTGAACTCTGGTGAAGCTGGAGCAAGCTAGTTGAGTTACAATAGTAAAATCTGTTCATGTAAGCTCATGAAATGGCTGTCTATATGGGTGCAAAATGCCTTCCTCTTCCCCCCCCCCCCCGTCGTCGCCAAAATGCACTGCAGTTTGTTGTTTGGCTTTACTAGTTCTCGTTTGTGTGACGTAATTGGTGTTAAAATTGTCCCTCTCACATCCAATATTCCTCCTGTTTTGTCATTTTCATACTCCACAAGATCTCACATGCTGTTGTCTGTCTGTGAGATTCAGTCGTCTTCCTAGTCTAGAATGGAATGTACCATTGTTATTTACTGTATATACAGCACATTTAGATTTGTTTATAGAATTAGGAATACAAAACGTCGTCATTGTAAATGATCGGACACTTGAATTAGCGTTGGCTCCTAGCTAGTAAGTAGGAGGTGACGTTTTGTGTGTACTGGTTCAACCGCTCGCCTCGAGACTGCGGCGGTAGTTCTGATAAGCATATTTGTCGAGCTATATCTTCTAAAGTGTTGTTTTTCATGTGGAAAGAAATATAAATCTAATCGTATGGTGTAAGTGTGCACTCAAATATTCGAACCTAGAGTCCGAGACACCCCTTAGGTTGTCCGGAAAGTTCTCAGCGTTTTGTGTTACCATTTTTTTGTATCTCAGTAGTACATCCCGAAGAGAATTTTCTGCTCTATGATGGTATAATTGCCGTTTCACCAATTGGCTTGAATAAAACCCCGCCTTTTCCCCAAGACTTTTGAAGCACGTCAAAAGAGCAATTCGGCGAATATTTCTTCGCACTAAAATTTAAGCCAGACCGCAATGAGACAGCTCCAACAAAATTAACCAGGCGTTGGGGGGACAATAGTGTTGGTGAGAAAAGCACCGTGCGGCAATGGTTCGACAAATTTCGTTCTGGAGATTTCAGCCTTGAAGTGAACCTCATAGCGGTCGACCTAAAGCAATATCTGACGAGGATTTTGAGGGGATTTTGGAGGCTGACCCATCCCAAACAGTTCGAGAGATTGCAGAAAAGCTAGGCGTTGGCAAATCCAGTGTTGCAGATGGTCTGAAACGCATTGGGAAGGTGAAAAAACTCGATAAGTGGGTGCCACAAGTGAGTGACCGGCAGGAAATTGGCATGTCTCGAGGTTTCCTTTCACCTGCTTTTGCGCAACAGAAACGACCCGTTTTTGGACCGAATTGTCACCTGTGATGAAAAGTGGATCATGTATGATAACAGGAGACGTTACGGACAGTAGTTGGATGCCGACGAACCACCGAGGCAATTCCAAACAGGCCGAAACCTTCACCAGAAAAAGTCCATTGGTCAACAGTGTGGTGGTCATCGGCTGGTGTGATCCACTATAACTTTTTGTCACCAGGCCAAACCATCACAGCAGAGTCCTACTGTGAAGAAATCGACGAAATGTACCGAAAATTGCGTCAGCTGCAGCCAGCACTTGTCAACAGAAAGGGTCCGATTCTTCTGCATGACAACGCCCGCCCACACGTTAATCACTATCCATAAATTGAACGAATTGGGGGGTTGAAGTTCTACCTCACCCGCCATATTCTCCAGACCTTTCACCAACCGACTATCACCTTTTCAAACATTTTCAGAACTTCCTTGCTGGAAAATACTTCATCAATCAGGACCAGGCAAAAAGGCCTACATGGACTTCGTGGATTCTCTACCACCAGTTTTTCTTTGATGTTGATTTTTTGATATCGTTTCACATTGGCACAAATAGTGTGCTGATTTCGACACGGTGCCTAATTCGATTTGTATCGGGATTAGATAAGAAGATATGATCGTTTGAAGTGAAACACTCAAAACGCTGAGAACTTTCCGGACGCTAATAGAAAAACTCTTTACAGGAGGTGTCGCGGGTATATGTGACAAGACAATCGTAATATGTCGCATTCTAATATGGTGGGCGGGGGAGCGGCCAGTCGCGCCCACGAGGGAGAGTTTGTCCTGTCTGGGTCGTTTGATGGTCTATGAATATCACGCTGCGGTGTTTTGCCCAGGGCACGACATCGCGTGATATTCAGTTTTGTTGTGCATTCGATTTCCTACTACAAAATGCTGGACGCCCCTAAATCGATCAGATACACGCCCCTCCCCTCCCCATGCCTCCTTCCTTTTCCTAATTTTAAAAAACCTCTTACCCGCTTTTTCACAGTTTGTCCCAGAAACCAACTCCTCGGTTTCCCAGGAACTTCCCGTCGGGGGGGGGGGAATCGTCACGGATTCTGACTCTGCATTTCCAACTATAGGAAGATGATAGTTGTGCAGGATTGCATTCCATCTCTCACAACGGCCACAATACGACCCCCTCACTTTGTACCGTCCGTGAAACAAGAGAAATCAACTACCAAAAAAATTTTCTCGGACCAAATACGACCCCCTCCCCTCCCTCGCGGTCAAATACGACCCCCCCTATTGTGATCATCACAACGATGGCATGCCCTGGTTTTGCCTCGGCTCGAATTCAGTTGTGAACTAAGTTGGGGGCAGTTCGGCGACGTGGGGAGGGGAGGAGATTTTGCATTTCCGATCATCAATTTTAAGTTTAGCCGCTTCATACGCAAAGATTCCGCAGAATGCGCAAATTTCGCGTCTACGGACAAGTGGACCCAATCCCCTTGACGGCGCCAAATTCCTGTTTTTCTCTGCGCTCCCACGTCTGCATGGCGCTTGATCACCGTGACCTTTGACATTCAATTCTTCACGTATGATAAGTGGCTCATTTGCTCCGGAGTCACCTCTCCATGAGGAAAGATTCCCACGGTTTGGGGCGGAGTCTGTCCTTGAAGGGATCCTTTAAGGGAAGTGGCACGATAAATCGGCAAGCCTTAGGGTCTAAAGCTGTAGGGTCTACACGCCTAGCATGAAAAATATCGTGCCCCTGATTGTGAGCAGGAGCTGCGTGGCTCCCTTCACAAGCAAAAGTGCATTTATAGCGCCTATCACGGTGCAACATGCCAACCTAGACGCCCACCACAACCACCCGCACACGAATGACGATGCTGGTACTCTTATCTCCTCATTTATAAAGTACAATTGATATGAAGCGTTGTTACATGGATATATGAATACATACGTGCAGCCGTATCTATCAAAGCGGTTGTTGGCACGATGCCAACGAGAAACTCGTCCAAAAATGCTCGTCCAGTGCCGTGTACAACAATTTTTTGAAGAATTCCATTCGGTTACTCGTCATATTCCCACTGGATACCACCCCTTCTACTACCTTTCCACGAATTCCAAATTATCGTGCGTTATGCCTTCAATTATGTTCACCAACCCCAAAGCTCCTCGTTTTCAAGGCTGAGGCAGTTCTCTTCGCCCCCGTTGCGATGAATCCAGTTTTAGACAAATATTTCTTGTAATTCCTCTTTCCCTCCTAAAGTTAATGACTCCGCATGATAATATATACATATAATCAACGCTACCAAATACATTTTTAATTCATCTCAAATTCATCGTGAAAGATTTTGTAGGAGTTGCCGGTCTTCTTCCAAATTTGAGTGAATTTACCATTGACGACACCGACTTTCTCAGTTGTTGATTGGAAACCGGAGCTCATAATAATGTAGTCAGGTGTCATTTGGTAAGTGTCACCAATGAGCTGAAAACAAATGTTTTTGTAGCGTGGAGTGCTACGTTCGAAATGAGTTCATCACCTTCGATGTTGTCTTTCCCCATAGCTCATCGAGTTTCTGCAACTCCTGCTTAATAGCTGAAAAAGCGAAGGCATTGAAATATTTCTGGATCCCTTTTACAATTCATCAGTTGGCTGGTTTCTGTTACCCTAAGTTCCATACGCTTCGAAACGATGAATTATTAAGAACCTGGCAGGTGGTTATGGGGAGGGGTATAAAAGGTGACAAGTACGATCAACCTTGAACTAAGAAAAGCGAAACAAATAAGTTCTGAATGACCAGTTCTGCGCGAAAATCTCTTCAAAACTCCACATTGGCCCATACACACCAAGGCCCGCCCCCGACAGCCCCGCCCACTTTCTTGTGTTTTGGGCTTTTATAACGCTTTCTCAAATTATTTTGCGCTCTCGCTTTGTACAGATATGGATGGTGTAACAGACGGAATGTTATGGTAAATATGGCACTGCCGTAGGTAACACCGTTTCATCGACCACACTTATAGGAACTCAGGAAGCGAAAACTCGGTGGGGGGACCTTGGGTTTACCTGGGATCAAGACGGCCCATGCCTCAGAATTATTGCGATAACTTCCGGAGAGCGAACTGTCGCATTCGACAGCGATTATCGCTTGAATCCTGCGATCTAAGAGTAGTCGTGAAGTATGTACGCACTCTTGGAGAAAACTGTGCTCTATCTCTCGAGGATCGCCGGTTCATGCGTAGGAGGGTTTTCGTGCGGTTCGCATCTGCAGCAGGGTACAGGAAAAAAGGTTGTAGGGTAGTGTAGCCTCCTTACTCAGGTGCAGTCTCCCTGCCTCCTGCCATACGCCTGCCACACGTCCAGCCACACTACTAACAATAGCCTTAGTCGCTACTTGTCTGCGCTCTCTCATGTTTGGTTGTTGTTTGCCTGCAACCCTGTGTGTCGCCGAGGGATTTTGGTATCGATGCAAGTGCTGCACATTCAGGATAGCACGGACGGAGTCCCAAATTCTAGCCGGGTGTCACTACTTTTCAGTCACATATCCGTTTCCTCACGACTGACGAAAGTGTTACATTGTACAATTCCCAACGCGTTCTTCTCGTACATGGCAAGCACTGCATTCGGAGGTGGGTGTACAGTCCATCTCCGAATATGACTCTCCTCTTCTGGGGTTCGTCAGAAACCTCGTGAATCGCTTGGAGTAGTCAGTCAATTTTGCCGAATCGCGGTTATTCAGTTCTCTACCGCATCTATCGTTGAGAAAAAAAACCTCACCGTCCTTTCCATAGCAACAATTGTTTCCTTTGTGGACCAGCACGGCGTCCGGCAGATAGTACTCAGTCCCCTGAAATTCTTTCATTCAGTGCCACGTTATCTATGATAGCTAGGATTGTTCCTTCGCGAAGAGTGGTACATGTATATATATTGTCCCTCTCCTTCCACTATTTCTGTACATGAACAAGTAGTTTGTTGGTTGTTGGATAGTTTCACGTTGAAATTTGAGGCCGACAAAGCTGTGAGCGATATGGGGGAGGGACGTAATTGGACGTCCCACCCTAAAATATTGTCCTCTTTGAAGAGGCGAGTGCTGTTACAAGGAATTAGAGTTCAACGCCACATCCCACGATTGCAAGAGATGGTTAGTGAGTCCAAATATGAATATTCAACGGCTAAATGAACTAGTCGAAGGAGAAAAAGTTGTACGAGTAAGAATGAGGTTCTGTTAATTTTTAGCACCCCTTTAGCGAAGAGGGGAGGGGTACAGAGTCACCAGAAGCGCTGGCGAGAGGCCAGAGACAAAGAGTAGAAGTTATACAAGAAACGTAGCGGTCTGATACAACGCGATGTACTTCAGCCCTGGGTAGTCGTTGGTCATACGTGCCCTTGCTGAGGGCTCAGCTCTTTTGTCGTTAGGCACTGGATGCACTGCCACATCTAATACTGCAATGTTCCCTGATGTAAGGAGGGGACCTTATTTATTAGTCAGATATTCGCAGAACGTGTCTTCAACAGAAAAAGGGATGAGATAGACTGCGGTTTCTTCCTGACTTTTTTAAAATCTTAATAACCCGTCGGTGAGTTTTACTAGCGTGAGAAACTTTTTTACTCGTCCTTACCTTGTCCACATGACTATTTTCAAGTTCATTGTTGTAGGCGTCGAAAATCGGCCTCAGGATGGCTTTTGCTTCTGAAAATTCCATGTTAAGTATTACTGATATTAATTCTG